CAAATTAATGACTTAAGTATATTATCATTAATAAAGTATATAAGAAATATAGTAATTGTAATTCATAAATAAAAAAAATATAAAAAAAATTAGACTCATCTTTTGCTATTTGATTCATTAAATTATCATTTGTTTTTAAATTGTTCAATTACTTGTCTATTATTATTATTTTATAACTTATCATATCAAGTACAAAATTGCAGATTGGTATGAGATTTAATAATATGAAAATATCTATTCAACTTTGGATGATTATTCTGTCAAACCTTTTTTACTTTACAAGTTCAAGACCAACAAAGCTAACAAATTACTTGTTATTTATTCTACTAATAGAACCAGTATATGTTCTTTTACTATTTTTGCAAATAGATATAAAGATAGCTATATTTATATTGTGAAGCTAATTTAATATAATCAAACTTGTCTAATCTTTATAGAAATATTCAAAACACATAGATCATTTCTTGTCAAGTTTATTGTACTATTAGTTAAAGATGTAGTAGCATTTTGATCTAGTGATATTATAAATCATATTCATTCTGAAGTAGAAGCTAAAACATTATATATAATAACCTGAAGAAGTCAAGCTACTAATAAAAATTGTAAAGCAAATAAAATTGATGAGAGTTATTAGTGTATAAAACTACTTCTTGATAATTTACTTATAAAAAATCTTGAAAGCATTATTTTATTTGAAGTTGACAATGAAAATCAATTTATTTGTGCATTTTTATGTTTATGGCTATGAATTAAGATTGCTAAATATTATAGATCAGTTTTTACTTTTGATGTATATTATTCAAAATCAAGTTATAAAAATGTTTACTTTGGTTTAAATACAATTGATAATAAAGACAAACTAGTTTCTATAGCATTTGCTATTTGTTTAGTTAAAAATTCTAATAACCAAATGTAGTTTTGTGAATATCTATATATAGCACTTTTAATAATAAATATGAATAAAACTATTATTATAAATAATTATAAAAAGGTAAATTCAATTTGATATTTAATATTTTATAACTATTATATTAACAATGCTTATAACTATTTGTATATAGAATATTTTTAATATCATATAAGCAAAGCTTTCTAATGCTTTTCATATACATTGTGTATAGCATATTGAAAAAAATATTAATACAAAGTTTAGAACAAAACTTAAAGATAAAATTTGGACTGCAACAAAGGTATTGAATACAAAAGATTTTGAAAATATTATAGAAGACATTTTTAGTATATATATAGAAGCTACCAATTATCTTCATAAAATATCTCCTGCAATATAGACTCTTAGTAAATGTCCATGTAATAGATTTGATTATTTTACTTCTAATATATCTAAATCTTTTAATTTCTGATTATATAATGAGCATCTTGTGAAACTATTTGAAACTATTAGTTTACTTGTATACAAAGTCAATATATTTTATTATAATTAGTATATAAAATACTCTTCAGTACAAGCATTACTACCACAAACAATTATTTAACAACTTCAGTCTACTATTAATAAATGTCATAACTAAGCAGTATATTAAGCTAATGAATCAATTTTTGAAGTTAAAATGAAAATGATAATTTTTGTATTGTGAATCTTAATATATTAACTTGCTTCTGTCAACAATTTTAGAATTTCTATGCATATATGCTTGTGCTGCTATTCTTAAAGCATATCTACAGCTATCACAGTTTATTCATATTACTTATTACACCACAACTTTTCAAAATATATACAAAGAGTCTGTTCAACCTGTTGATACAGAAACATGTTTTCCTGATAAAACAACTTTGCCACCTAATACAATCAAGCAAGCAGAATAACTATGGAAAACTCAGCTACATAGTCATGGGAAAACAGCATCAGAAGATCAAGTTACTTGTGGGAGATGTAGAGAAAAAAGCATAATTACATACATGTAGTTGAAGACATCAACAGAAATAATGGTTGAAAAGTAGCATATGCATTTTTACATTATGTTATATTATACAATATATTCGTAATATGTATTTCTGCTAATGCGACCATAATAGTTAATACTATGTAATAAATAAAGTAATTCAGTCTATAATAATAAAATGATTCATTTTTCATATTAACATTAAAGGATTTAACTACAGAATTTGATAATAGCATTTAGATAACTAGACTGCTATAGTACAGTAATTCTGTGATAACGTTTTTCAAAAAATTTGGGCCCTTAAATGTAATTATTTTATATTGGGCCCTTGTTTGTAATTATTTTCATTTTTTGGGCTCTTATTTGTAAATTCCCCAATTTTAAATTGCTATCGTACTGTACTGTCGTTTATAATTTTTATTCAATACATGTACTGTACGGATACACATTATATGTTGTACGCCTATATTTATGTAGAGTACAGTACATTCAATAACAAAATACAGTACGAAACTTCTACACCCCGATCAAGATAATAGTTCCTGTAAAAATATGTCAGCGATAGAATCTTTCATTACAGCTTTTTTATGCAAATTTTAAAAAAAACCATATGTTGGATCATTTTCTACGAAGATGTTCTATGCATATTGGATAGTTCATTTATTAATTATAATAATTGCTTAGAAATTATATAACTTATTAATTTTTAACCGTTAACAATTCATAATTAGAAATTCCCATCGCTAGTTACGGCAATTCAATAATAATAATTTTATCATTGATACGAATTATCAGCATTTTAAAATTATTAAAAATGTAAAAATATTTTTTTGATTGATAAATTTTATAATACAAATTATTTTAATTTACATCGCTGGAGTTGTATTAAATAAATCAAATTAAAAAAATAATGAAATAAATTCAGTTATTTATTAGTCTAGACTATCCCGAAACGCTATTCGCTAAGTCTAAACACGTCTCATTCGGCAAAAAACCACTCATTAGTTACATGAACCGCTCTTTGTAGAGCCGTTTAAACTTGGAGCAGATCTCAAAAACTGCTCTAACGAGGGTATAAAATTCTGATTTTACGTTTATAATAAGATTTTACGTTTATAATAATATCGATCTTTAATTTATATTCCCCGTAAAACACTTGGGTACGGTATTATCCGTTGTAAAATGTCAGTAGTTTACGATAGACTGGTGATTTACTATCATGATGGGGTCTTGTAAGCGGCCATTTACAGTAACTCGTCATAATGCTAAATTTACATTGACTTTTACAGTTTTACAATACTTTCATATATCATTTGAACAATAACCATAAAAATTTTAATTATTATAATATATACTAAGAGAGGAAAAAGATACATATGTAATATATATTTAATTAATAATCCTTAGATCATATAGTTCTATAGTTACCCGATTATATCTTTAAATGACCTTATGGACATAGTAAAGATCTCAATACATATTTATTTCTTACTCTTGTTTTTATTACCCTCCTATTATACAACTCTAAATCAAATACACGCACTATGTCACTTTCTAAAATTTATAATAAACTTAACGTTAAAAGGCGCCATTACCGTTGACCACTACATACAGTAACCAGAATCTTATTCAATAATTAAGCTAGGCGAGAAATAATACCGTGCCTTAACCAAGGAGAGTATTATTTTTGAGGGATACTAAATGTAGCGATCAACGGCATATTAGTCATTATGCAACGTTTCTTTAATAAAATTAAGTGCATAATTTTTAAACATCTCGGTTGATTCATTTAAATTATCGGTATCATAAATTAAAGTATGTAGTGCGCCCATCCATTCCTGTAACATATTGTTGCTTATATTTTCTTTAAATAATTTAGGTAGATGGCATTTAAATAATGGCACCAGAATTTCCGTGGCCTCGCATCGAGAGACTATATTCAAATGTAATGGTAAGTAAAAATTTTTAGCTTCATTATATATTCTTAGAGCACCACAAAGTTCATAGAATACGGTTGGATTCATTTCAATTGGGATTTTAATGTTGAAGGTCTGCTGGAGTTGTTTA